CTCTGGCCAAATGCCTTCTCAGATGGTAACGTATGCTTCACCACCCATTTATCCCTCCGCCTTTCAACCAGCACCACATGTGATTATCGGCCAGGCTGGCACAATTAACTAACTCACTGATTAAAGGATGGAGGCTCTCGCAGCCAGCACTAGCATGTGCTCAGCGACTTCCCTCCCCAGTCTGTCCTCCTTCGGTAAATCCACACAAAGGGCTGAGGATGAGAAATAATCTCACGTAGCCACTCTTCAGACCTGGAACTGAGCTCCTCCCCATGTTAGAATGAGATGGAAAGGGCACCCCTTGCCCAAGGCCTAGTGTTGGGCAAGGAGGAGGGATGGAAACAGGAAATCCTGGGAGCAAGAGGGATAAGGGCTGGTCCACTGAGGGCATGAAAATGGAAAATGGGGGTTTGGTACAAAATGTGCATAAGTGGATGAATGCACAACTCATGATCTGCTCTGCGAACCTTCACCCCCAGCACAGTAAGTTCAACACACAAGCAAAGGGTTTCCGTGGTGCTTATCATGGCTCCGGGAAGGGCCAGGCATGATACCATGCGGTGTGTGCGTTTTTCCCTAAGGAGAGCCTACAGCTTTTATCAAAGCAGGTCACTGACCACCATTTTAGAGACGTGTCTTAGACGCGGTCACTCGCAGTGACTCTGTGAATAACGGCCGGGAAGGCGGCCCGTCCTGAGCCGTCCCTGCATTTGTTATGCTGGGGCTCAGCGTGGCAGCCCCTGGGTCCAGGTTCAGTCTCACTCGTACATTCTAGGTTCTCTTAGTCAAAGGGTTCACGCTCGTTCAGCAAAAGAAGGTCCGAAAGTTTTACTCCTTCTCTGCCCTTCTGGTCGCCTGCGCTTGGAGAAGGCTGCTCTTCCGCGGCCTGTTGCGAGCGCCCTCCAATCGGGGGCTCATCTTCTAGCCCGATCTCTGATAGTGCAGTTCACTCGGGGTTTCCGTGGCAAAGTCCTGGAGAGCAGACAGCTATGTCTTCTTCTTAGTCTGGTCTTGTCTGGAACTTGGCCAAAACCGGTTTGGAGACATAGGTAGTCGTTAAATGCTTCCGGGAGGTATGGTATAGGTTCCAATCCACCAGCCACTCTGTGGGAGAAGCTCAACTGCAGCCCTGGGAAAGCGCTGGGGCCGTGCCACTCCAGTAAACGCCAGCGGCAGACGCATCTGTGGCCTTCGTGTGCCCAGCATCCTTGGGAGAGGTTTTGCTCCAGAATGCTGAATGCTTCTTTGATAACATGTAATCTAACTCTCTGCGCGTCCCCGCGCCCGCCTCCATCTCTTCTCCCCAGGAAGCCCAACTACCTCTGCGAGTGGGAGCAGGGGCGCTGGGGACAGGGAAAGAGGAGCAGCCCCACTCCTGGAATTCCTGGGGCAAAGGCCAATCATTCCTTTTGGGGGGCTTAAGCAAAGCAGAGATTTGCTTTCTACCACCGCGAACTCCTGGAACTGAGGAAGGCCTTTCAAACTTCTTCCTGCCCCAGTGGAGAGGGAGGATCTAAGGCTGGCAGTGCCAGGGAGCAGACTGATTGCGGGAAGGCGGCGTGGTGCGGGGCGCTGCTCCCGGGCCTGCGGGGCAGGGCGGAGCTCCGAGGCTAATAGGATCCGCCCGGCGAATCCCCGGGCCAGGCACGCTCTGCACGCGGGGCCCAGGAGCTGCAGAGGAAGGCTTAAGGAGTCAGGCCCCCCCGCAGCCAGGCCTGGGGTGAAGGGCACGGCTCCGCGGGGGAGGGAAAAGCCCTAGCCCCTCCTCCGAACGAGGAAGAGGGGGGCGAAGCCCTTCCCATGGGATATGGGAGATGAGAGACCCCCTGCGGATCACGGACCACTGGTTCTTGCCCAGTGAGCCAAGGGTCAGGGCCAGGCATCAGTGGGAGGGGCTGGAGAAAGAGGGCAGCTTTGCCCAGGACCTGTGCCCCCTCCCATACTTCCTGCCTCCCCCTCCCAGCTCCCACCTGGCGCCACCTTCCTGATCCCCTTATCACTAAGGCGCTCAGGCAAATAGTACCTGCTGGAGCGTTCTCAGAAATGCTCCCTTGGCCGCCCAGGAACCATGAGCCCTGCAACTCCGGTAAGGACGAGGGGCCTCAGGAAGGAGAGTGGGCAGGACAAATGCCCTTCCTAGAGCAGGACGTAGAGGTGCCCTGGTGGTGCGGTAATACACCTTGGGTTTCGATTTGCAAGGTCCATAGTTCGAAACTACCAGCCGCTCTGCGGCAGAAAGAGGAGGTTACTCCCACACCACCTCAGAAACCCATAGGGGCAGTACTATCCTGGTCACTATGGGTTGCATAGCCTGGATGGCAGTGAGTGAAATAGCCAGTGATGGGACCTGGAGCTTCTAGGCCTCTTTCCTGAATGGCATTCTGTTTTTGCCAGTCTAAGTAGGAGTCTGTGAAGCTGAGATATCCAGGGAAGTGATCTGGGAGGGTCAGGTCTAGGTGGTAAGTATTCGGAAACAATCTTCTTTCTCCACTTGAGCAAGCCCCAACCCCCTTCCGCCCCAATCCATTTTTAATGCCATGAGCATTAGCTTCTTTAAAAAACTACCTATGGGATCGAATTGAGGACAGCAATTGGAGAGATTAGCCAGGAGCCTGAGGGGGCCGTGGGAGTGTGTCAGCGGGGGAGGCTGAAGGTCACCAGTGTCCTTGGATTGTACAGGGAGCCACTTGAGTTTTTGCTGGGCATATTTTCAACAACAGCAAAAGAAATTAAATATTCAAACCCCAAAAACTAGGAGATTAGTGTCTCCTTTTTTTTTTTTTTGCCTAGAAAGAGTTTGTAGTTGTTTTTTTTTTGGTAAGATTCTTAAGAAAAAGAACTTCCGATTGATGTAATCCGTTCACCTGAATTGTACACATGAAAAATGTTCAATTGGCAAATGTTATCTATATTTTATATCAATGACAAAAGGAAAGAATATGTAAACCAACCATCTTTCGTTTGCTTTAACAAACATTTATGGTGCATGTACTTTATAACATTCTTGATGTTGAAGACTCAATGAATTCTTCTTAATGCTTATAATGTAATAGCGATATTGCATTAATAATCTTATTTGCTTATAATGTGTGTGCATGCAGGCACGTATGTTACTAAATGTATTGCTTAAAAGTATTCTAACTGAAGAGGATAGTGGTCAAAATTATGAACAAACCAGTCTGCTTTGGGGAAGTCAATGAGCTAGGAAGCCACTTGAATGGTGCCGTTCAATCCCATCTATCTTATTGAACCAATGATGAGAAAAAAAAATTGAATAGAAAGTAAATGTTTAGAAAATGATGTTGGCCACACATGTACAAGTGTTATATGGAATGTTGTAAGAGCTGTAAGAGCTCCCAATAAAATGATAATTAAGAAAAAGAACTTCATGACAAATGCGTGAGCGGCTGTCTTAAAAGAAACAATACAATCGTAGGTGCAGTCCTTTTACAAGGCTGCCATCCCGCAAAGGCTGTGCACTGCCCAACTCTAGGGCTGCAAACTACAAATCCCAGCATGCCCGGTCAGAGCATCTTTCCATGCCCCGCCTCCTCCCTGAGGGATGCAGCAGGTCCAGGGGGCGGGTCCCCATAGCGCCGCCTGGGGAGTGGAATGCACCAGTCTCTCTCGGGCACTCAGAGCGCAGGCGCAGCGGGTTGGGTGGCAGCAGCATCAAGTAGCCTCCGCAGTGGCAACATCATCCTCTACAGGTGTAGCCAGGTGGGTGCTTCAAGGGGGCTGGAAAAGGAGTTTGCACCTGGCCCTCTCGTGTGAGCTGTGCCAGGGCTTGGAGAGGGAGGTCGCTGCAGGAGCAGCGCCTCCCTGGCCGGCCTTGCAGTCTAAGTGTGCCAGCCCTTGCTACGCAGCAACAGGTGTGAGCTAATGGGGGAGGGGCAGAGGCTCTTGCTGTCATATAAGTTACCCGCAGGGGCAAAAGGCCCTGGATTCCAAGTTCCATCACGTATGTGGGCAAGTTGGAGTAAAGATGGTGACCCAGCTAGCAAGTTTATCGCAGGGTGTATGATTGAGAAGCTGTATCGTATGTGCTGTACTTTGGAAACAAGCCCCTTCCCCCATTCTGATTAAATTTGTCCGAGGTGCAACCTGGGCTTCCCGAGTTTTAGAAGCTCCCACTCGTGTGGGAAGCTGGGACTGCTGGCCCCATGGCTGACAATCAAGTAGGACTGCGCAAGCAACCGCACCGCTTCAGGCCCCATTCCCTCTACAGGTGTAGCCAGGTGTAGCCCCATTCCCTCTACAGGTGTAAAATGGGAATCAGAACAAGGAGTGTTGTGCTGAAAGCACTGGGAACAGTACCTGGCAGGTAGTGCCCATCAGTGGTTGCTGCTGCTTCCCCTTCCTGATAAGTGGCTCGGGTGGGTCCCGTGAGGGAGGCTTTTCTCTTTCTGCATCCTCCATTCATGGCTGTGATTCTAATGTTCTTGCCTGCCAGTATTAAGCAGCTGCAGGCGTTCCTTGTTAAAGAGTTAAAGAGTTCCTCATTCCAGCCTCTCTACCTGCCTCATAGCTACACTTTTACAGATCTGGAAATGAAGGCCAGGCCAGAGGGCCAGGGAGAAGGGACTTGGCCAAGGACAAAGAGCTGAGCTTGGGATTCCCACCACCCGCAGCTGCTGTCCCCACGGGCAGTGCGCCCGCCCTTTCCTTTATCTGCCCAGGGCAGAGAATGGGGAAGAGACAGGTGCCTCGCCCTTGTTTGTTTACTAACACTCCCTAGAACAGTTCCTCTAGGGGCCCCCAGGGGAGGATGGCAGGGCCTGGGGGCTTCTCTCTGGGGAGCTGCTCTGGAACTGTTGACGAGACCTGTGTGCCTGTGGCTTCTCTGACAGGTCCCATCCGACTCCGAGCTGGAAAGTCCTTTTGAAGAAATGGCCCTGGTAAGGGGCGGCTGGCTGTGGAGACAGAGTAAGTGAGCTGGACCAAGCCCTTGTCTGCCCTGTCCCTCATCCTGGGGCCAGGGGGAGGGAAACTATGTGTTGGGCTTGCCACAATGAACCCTCCTCCTAAATAAAAAACCCAACCCAACCCACTGCCACTGAGCTGCTTCCTACTCATGGTGACCCTAAAGAGGGTTTCTGAGACTGTACATCTTTACGGGAGAAGACAGGCTTATCTTTCTCTTGTGAAGTGGCTGGTGGGTTTGAACTGCCAACCTTGTGCTTAGCAGCCCAGTGCTGATCCCACAGCACCTTTCCCCTAAGAAATCAGTGCCTTTTTATCATCCTTGTCCTATCCACGTCCTGTCCAGGGCCTGCAACGTCCTTCCCATCTCTGACTTCTTGGTTAACTTGTCCTTATTCTTCAATACTCAGCTCAAATGTCCCTTTCTCTGGGGAGTCTTCTCCCACTCCCTCTAACCCCCAGCACTGTCCCTGCTGTAGTTACCAAGATTGGTTAGCGGCTCCCATAATGCCTTGTGCACACACTTATCAAATTGACCCTCCTGTGATATAACTGCATTGACCCATGGCTCCCTACTTCCCCAGCCTGAGGTCTTCAAGGGCAGGAATGAGGTTTGGCCTACTATGTGTTCACGGAACCTTAGCCCGAGGCTGAAACCAGGGCAGAGCACAGAACAAGATGAAAAATGCCTCTCTGCAGTGCTTTGGAAACTGTCAAACTCAAAACTCTCTGGATTTTTGTGTTGTGGTTTCCCGTCACAGTGTCTGAGGTCAGGGCTCAGGCTGCCAGACCCACCTCCAACCAGAGTCATGATGTGAACAAGAGTTATGGCAGAGACCCCTGGGATTAACACCCCACTCTCCTTTCTCAGTTTGGCTCAGTTCAGTAAACACTGAACAGAGGTCCTGCCGGGTGCCTAGCCCCATGTGGGGAGCTATAGACCCTCAGTCTAGAGGAGGGGCCACACTCTGCACAAACTGATTGTCACATATGTTTGGGAGAAGAATGTGGCTTACCACAGGGACAGATCTTTATCCTGAAGGAAACTCCAGTTTCCACTGAACACAGTTATGGCACCATGTCACAGGACTGATGGGAGAAAGAAGGGAGGGGTGGTTATAACACAGGGGGTTCTGGAGGTGAGGGGACCCTAGAAGCGCACCTGGGTCTCCTGTCCCCAGCAGACTCCTGGGTCAGCCTGTCTGGTGGGTGGGGAATATCGCACAGGCTCCATCCTCCGGCGCTGGAAGCGGAACTGGTTCGCCCTGTGGCTGGATGGAACCCTGGGCTACTACCGAGACGAGACGGCGCAGGACGAGGAGGACCGTGTGCTCATCCACTTCAACGTCCGCGAGGTGAAGATTGGCCAAGAGTGCCATGGTGAGCCGGCATCCCCTCCTCCCTGGCCCTGTGACAAGGGTGGAGCCCCACTGTGTCTGAGGACACCTGCAGGTGGAAGGCTCTTTGCAGCTTCCAGAGGACTTCTGCAGAGCTTGGTGCCAGACCTCTATCAACTGACTGAAGCCCCCTTAGAGGCCACCAATTGCATACATGGGGAACCTTTTAGATGGCAAGAGACTATGGACCAGGAATGAATGAGGAGGCTCCGGCCTCATTTAGGGCTCTGTCCCCACGACTGGAGCAGGGAGAGGCCACCTTTGTCTATAAAAGGAGTCAATACCCAGTACCTGTGAGTGCACACGAATCCATCAATCCCTCATTCAGCTCCTACCCATGCTGCAGTCCCAGAGGCCAGCCCCACACAGCACCTGTCCTCTCGGCACCCTCACCACACACAGTGCCACCAAGTCCATTCTGCCTCCCCAGGCTGTACGTCTTTACAGAGGCAAACAGTGCGTCTTTGTCCCTCAGAGCAGTTGGTGGGTTCAAACCATCGACTTTTCAGTCAACAGCGCCATGCTTATTCCATTCTGCCCCTGGGCTCCTCTCCAGGCACTAGGGATTGGATAAAGAGGAAGTGAAATCCAGAGATTCAGAGAAGGTCAGTACCTGCTCCAGGGACCCAGAGCAAATCTTGGAGTTCCTCATATAAAGCTCTGGTCCCAACGAGAACAGGAGAGCTGGAAGATATAGGCAGGGATGGCTGAGGAGTAGAGTCGAGTCCTACAGATGTGGGGTCAGAGGATGGTGGCAGTGGCAACGAAGCACGACCCAGAGAACTCACTCCTTGTTGCTTTCTGAGCTTGCTGTGGGGTGTGGGTGTGAGCCTGGGCTTTGTGCCCTGTAGAAACCCCTATATGTCTGTCTGCCTTCAGATGTGCAGCCCCCAGAGGGCCGGAGCCGAGATGGCCTGCTGACGGTGCACCTGCGGGAAGGCTCCCGCCTGCACCTGTGTGCAGAGACCCGGGACGACGCCATGTGAGTTGTCCCCTGGAGAGGAGCGGGCAGGACCACAGCAGCGAAACCCTAGGTCCACTGATGGGGGAAGAGGGCATGCCCTGGTGGGGCTGGTGTGTCACTGAGGGCTGCGTACAGTGACCTGACGGCTGCTGGTGAGGGATGATCCAGTCACCTCCCCCCAGCGTAGGAGGAGCTCACAGTGTGGCTCTGGGGTGTTGGAGGGACACAGCAACTTCAGTGGGTGTTCCCTGATCGCCCAGAGTAAGGGGCACAGCAGCCTCTGCGGGGCACTTTTGCTGGTGGTGATAGAAAAGGGTAAGCCTGCTGCCAAAGAACCCCCTTCTTGTTTCCCTGGGAGAAGATGGCCACAGGCCTGCCCCCTGTAGGGTGTGGGGACAGCGGGGCCTCGCACCTGAGGCAGCCCAGCCAGCTCCCTGGGGGTACCCTGGTGTCACATGCAGCTCCCCAGGCCAGGGTGGGTGTCTTCCTAAGGCGCCATCAGCACCCTCACATTCTTTCTCTCGTTGGCCTCTCCCTGTAGGAGAGGGAAAGAGATGGGGTATGGGGGAGGAAGGGAAGCTGAGCTCTGGCAGACAAAGCACAGAGGCGCCTTGTCCACCCTGGCTCGGCGCCATGGCAACCAACAAAGACCCAATTGTCTGGAGTCCACTGGGCTCCGGGGTCAGAGCTTGGGGACACTGGGTTGGTAGGTTCGGGATCTAGAGGTGGGCTGCAGCCAGGGAAGCCACTCAGATAGGTCAGACTGAAGCCCGCTTAGAAACCACCCAAGCCCACTTCCCATTGCATACATGGGGAACCTTCTAGATGGCAAGAGACTGGACCAGGAATGAATGAGGAGGCTCCGGCCTCATTTAGGGCTCTGTCCCCATGACTGGAACAGGGAAGAGGCCACCTTTGTCCATACAGATGAGTCAGTGATGCGCTGGGGTGAGAGGCTGCTGGGGAGGAAAGTCTCAAATGTAGCAACCCATCTTCTTGCTCTCAAGCCCACCTCGTGTTTGCTAGTGGGGTTTTCCTTTGCAGAGCGTGGAAGACAGCGCTGCTGGAGACCAACGCCACCCCGGTGAGCCCCCCACCCTCCTCCACTCTGGTCCCCACCCCCATCTGCCATGGAATCACGGGTGACTCAGACTCAGTCTCCACCTGCCAGGGTTCCTGGTCCAGTCTGGCTAGACTTGGGAAGCTTCAGAGGCCCTGAGTTCCAGGTGGAAAAGCATAGATGGCCAGCCGGGGCTCAAAGGCCGCAGAGACAGAAGCCTCTGGGAAGCTTGCTGGAGGGGGTGCCATGTGAGCTGGGAGAAAGGAACTAGCTTTTATTGAGCAACTATCACGTGCCAGGTGTGGTCCAGGAGACTGACATTCATTAATCCATGCAACAAATAGTGACTGAGTCCCCGCGGTGTTCCAGACCCTCTCTGTCAGGTGACAGGGATCAGAGGTAAGCCCAGGAGAACCGCAGGCTCTTCCCTCCGGGACCTCAGCCCACTAGGGAGACAGACGTGAACCCGCTGATGACCCTGGTGGTAACCACCCCAGGAGAGAAGTGCAATGTGCCAGCCAGTGGGGCCTCCTGATGCAGTTGGGGGTCCAGACCCGAAAGATACAGAAACCAATGGATGGACGGTGTGGGCTAGAGGAGAAGAAACTTTCTTAGGCAGAGGGGACAGCATGTGCAAAGGCCCTGAGCAAGGCTTAAGACCTTGGCAAGTGACGGAACAGAAGATGGGCTGGAGTAATGAACTCCAGGAGTGAGAGGGAGGCGGGGTGAGGTGGTTTGCAGGCCAGGTCATGGGGTCTAGGCTTAGGGTAAAGGCTTCTGCTCAGCGCCCTGGGAAACCACCGAGGAAGAGGGTGTAAGATTCGGTCAGATTCATACTTGTAAAAGGACAGCCTGCTGGTACACAGGGAATGGACTGTATGGGGCAAGAGAGGCCAGGGAATCTCATTCCAAGAAGGGAAGGTGACACACTGGGGCCAGCATGGAGACCTTGCTGGCAGAGATAGGCTGATGAGGACAGACTACTGAGACGGACTCAGCCAGTGCTTAGCACCTGATGTGGGTGAGGGTGGGTTTAGAGAGCTGCCCAGGACCCGTAGTTCAAGATGGCACAGCCTGGTCTTGGTCCCCATCTGCCTAACTTCCGATTCCGCGCCTGCTCCTCTCTGGAGCACAATAGAGGTCCCCCTCATGTAGTGATAAAGCCCCTCGAGAAGTGTGGGGCACTGGGATACATTAGCATCCCCCTCGGGTGCCTCCCTGCTGAGGACCAGGCATGCGCAACACCTGGCATTGGTCACATTGTTTAATTGCCCCACAGCCCCGGCAGGGAAAAGTCTGGAGGCTGGTATCCTTAGTCCCATTGTATAGACAGGTAAGCTGAGGCTTAGAGAGGGGTAGTGACTGGTCCATGGTCTTGTCAAAGGAAAAGCCTATCGGGACCAAGATTTTGAGAGGAGGGCAGTATCTGCAGATGAACTGTGACACAAGCAGGGCAGTGGTGTGTGTGTGTGTACACATATGTACATGTGTTGAAGAGACCGAGGGCTGGCCTGACTGAAGGGCAGTGGCAGAAAGGATGAGAGAGATGACCTCTGGGGCCTTCCCGGAGGGTCTGGAGGTCCAGGTGAAGGAACAGGGCTGTCAGAGACCATGGGAAGTAGTCAAGGGCAGTGAGCAGGGTGGACTGGGAGATTTGGGGGCCGAGTTGGACCTCCAGGTGAAGGTTGGATTGAGGGAGGTGGAGCAGTGCCCAGTGGGGTAGAGGGACCCAGGGTTGGCCAGAAAAGGAGGTGAGGGCTGACTGTCTGTACTCTGTGACTCTATGAAGCTACCCTGCCCTTCTCTGTCCACCCTCTTGCTGCTCAGCTTGCTCTCCGCCTGTCACCGGATCCACTATTCTACCTCCTGCTGCTTTGCACCCACCCCGCCACCCCCACCCCCAGCCTGGCCCCTCTGGTGGCAGCTTCCTAGACCAGGTGTGTTAGTACCCGAGTCTGCCTGTCTCTGTGTCCACCTCTGTCTGCACCTCTCTCAGCCTCAGCCTGCAGGCCGGACTGGTACTCACACAAGCATATTTTACTCTGGCTGAAGACTCCAGGAGGAGCCCTCAGTTGCCTTGGGGCACAGCCAGGGACAAGATAGTTAGGGTGGGGCACCGGATGTGAAGGCCAGCAGAGAGGGGGCACATCATAGCTGCAATGTCTCCCAGAGACTGGGAACCTCTGTGCCCCCAAACAGGCAAAGGTGGGCTAATGCCAGAGACCACGGGTCCTTCCTCTGCAACTTTGGCGCAGTCCACATCCTTCTCCAAGCCACCCCGTTCCCATGGGCTGCGGAGGAAGAGAGCACCCCCTGACTTTGGTGGGGTCTATTAAGAGCTGAGTCTCTTAGGGTACAGAGGGCCTCTGATGCCTCCCTTCCTCCCCCTTCTCCGGTCTCTGTGGCCTGAGCAGGCCCCAGCTGGAGCCACAGTCCCTCCCAGGAGCCGCCAGGTTTGCCCCAAGGTCAGGTGTGTGACCCGCTCATGGAGCCCCTGTAAGTTTGAGAGGCGGATCTGGGTAAGTGCTGGCGTAGTCCTCCCTGCCTCCTCCTGACCATCAAGATGTCTCCCAGGCTAGGCCTGGGCATAGCCCTTCCCTGCTCACAAACCTTCCATGGCTCCCTAGCACCCATGAGACACCAACCCCAGCCCTCGCCACCTGGCCTTCAGTTAGCCTCCTGTCTCTTCCTCCTCATCCTCCGTTCTCTAGCTACCGCCCTGCTGACCCTCTGTGCCCAGCCGCCCTCCCTCCGTCTCACACATGCTGTTCTCGCTCCTGAAAAGAGCCCGCGTCTCCTCTGCCACCCAGCATGCTTTAAGACCCACCTCAAAGGCTGGCTGGCACCGGCTCAGGGAAGACTTCCCAGAGGCCAGGCCTTATCTCTGCCTCCCACAACCTAGTGCTCAGTACTGGCTTCATTCTACAGGTGTCAGCTTACTCCCCGGCAAGGACCGGGTCTGTTGGCTCTGCTCTTACGAAGCTGAGCCCAAGGCTGGCTGCTCAGTGATGAGGACAGCCCGTTCTAACTGCATCCTGGCACATGAGGGTCTGAATCGATGAGGCTACAGGGAGTGTTTGCTGAGTGAGCAAATGAGTGGCTGAAGGGAGAGTGAGCACACACACACGCACACATACCCGCATGGGCACCTGAGTGGCATATTGTGACTCAGTCCACGTCTGTGTTTCCGCTGCCCTGCAGAGGTTCTAGAAAGCAGGATTGGGGCCTGAATCCTTCTCTGCCCTGCAGAGCTCAGCACAGGGCCCACTGGGGGCAGCTGGGGACCAAGACCAGGCTGTGCCATCTTGACAGGCATCTGCGAGCCCCTCTTCGAGCATGGTGGGTCTCGGTGGGTGTGGCTGGGCTCTAGAATTGTGCACCCAGTCGCTGGGGAGGCGATTCTACTCATGGGGGGCCGAGGAGAATTGTGCTTCAAGGGGTTTTCAGGGGCTGAGCTTTTGGAAGAAGGGAGCCAGGTCTTTCTTCCCCAGAACCTCTGGGTGGATTTGAATCTCCAACCTTTCAGGCAGCTGGCGAGGACATTTGCCAGTTACACCACCCAGGGGCTCCCTAGAATCCTGAGGGACTTAAAATGACAGAAGTTCAGCTCCTGTTTCTGAAAGGTCTAGGTCTTGGGTTGCTATTGTTGTTAGTTGGTCCTGACTCATAGCGACCCTGTGCACCACAGAACAGACCACCACCTGGCCCTGCACCCTCCTCCCGACTGTTCTAATGTGCGCGCCCATTGTTGCAGCCATGGTGTTGGTCCATCTTGAGGGCCTTCCTCCTCTTGGCTGTCCTTCTACTTCACCAGGCACGAGCTTACATCCTTGCCTCTAAGGAGCATTCTGGTTGCACTTCTTCCAAGACAGATCTGTTTGTTCTTTTGGCAGTCCATGGTACTTTCAATGTTCTTTACCAGCACCGTAGTTCAAGTGCATCCATCCCTTCTTCTTGGGTCTTCCTTTTGCATTGTCCAACTTTCCCATGGCCATAAAGCGATGGACAAAATCATGCCTGGGGTCAGGCACATTTGAGTCTTCAAAGGAACCTCCTTGCTTTTCAACACTTTAAAGAGATTTATCCAGAGCAATGCTAGGAAATCTATAGTTTAAAACATTTTTTTCTGGGCGAGTATATGCACTGGCTACACAGCCCTGGGTCTGTTAGATTCTCACGCTGCCTTGGGAGTGGGCAGGACAGGAAGGAGTGTCTCCATTTACAGATGAGAAACTGGAAGCTCTGAGAGGTCATATAACTTGACCAAGGTCACCCATTTCCTCAGTGGCAGGGCTGGGAACCCCAGCTGAACATTCTGAGGCTTCTCCCTTCACCATAGTAGATAGGATACAAGTTTTTGTTTAGAGGGAAGGATTCTTTTTTTTTTTTTTTTTAAACATTTTATTAGGGGCTCATACAACTGTTATCCCAATCCATACACCCATCAATTGTGTAAAGCGTACCTGTACATCATTTCTCAAAACATTTTCTCTCCATTTAAACCCCCGACATTAGGTCCTCATTTTTCCCCTCCCTCCATGCTCCCCCCTCCCACATGAGCCCTTGATAGTTTATAAATGGGTATTTTGTCATATCTTGCCCTGTCCGACTTCTCCCTTCATCCACTTTTCGGTTGTCTGTCCCCCAGGGAGGAGGTCACACACAGTTCCATGTAATCGGTTCCCTCTTTCGGGAAGGATTCTTAAAAACAGAACTTCAAGGGCTGTAAACCTAACTACACCCAAGTTTTCTGATGGAGGTTAGCTTTGCTTGTGACCCCTGATTGGTTGGCATTGTCCTTACCCACAGAAGGGATTGGGCTTTCATAGGGCGGGGGGTGGGGGGTGGGGGTGGGGTTGGCGACCAAGCCCTAAGGTTCCATTCCTGAAGTCCCTGGGGGCTGCCTGTTGCCTAGTGAACTATATGAGTTTGCCTTTGGGCCTCCCAGGCTTGGCAGGTAGAGACGGGAGCCCCAGTGGGCCTTGAGCTGGTGTTTTCCACCCTCCCCAGAGCCTCCCAAAGCCACTGGTTCTCTGCAGCTACAGGGCAGGTGTATACTCTTTCTGGAACTCAGTTCCCTACTGGTTTGAAGGCTTAGATCCCTGTGACCAATCCTAGGCCTGGCCACCTCTACCAGCTGCCCTCCTGCCTCAGGGAAAGGATGCAGTGAAGGGAGCCACTTGAGACCGCAGACCCACAGCATGGTTTGTCTGAGCCTTTTGTACCGCTCTGGGACTCTTTGTTGTCGCTAACTTGAAATTGGACTCAGAGTTGGGTGACCTTGGCTCTAATCCTGGCCCTGTATTGGGTTCCCTTGAGGTAAATTCAATAGACATGTAAATATCAGGTGCCTACTGTATGCTTGGTTCTGCCCAATCTGGCCTGATGAGACCCAATCGCTGCCCTTGAGGGCAGTGGGGAGGGGAGGCACACATACACTCATGAGGACACAGGACAGTGTGATCAGTGTTGTGATGGAGATAGCCCAAGTGCTGTAGGCTCTCAACGGGAGCCCGACCGAATCTGAGGTTCCGGAAGAGTGACACGGGGATTGCATGTAAAAGGCAAGGCAGGTTATTGAAGGAAACAAGAGAAGGGAAGTGCTGAGCAAAGGCACCCAGACAAAGATCACATGGTGTACCTTGAGAACTTCCTTTATTGCTAATCTCGACAAAGATGCCATCGTATGTCTGCTCCAACCTGCCAGTCGGGGTTCTCCCCGAAAACCACTTGTCTGAAAAATGTTTGTTCCAAGTTACCACTTCCAAATTGCCCAGACCAATGGCTTACTTTCCTGATGTTGGCCACAAGGAGGGACACACTTGCCTTTTTCAGAAGATCAGTCGTGAGGCTGGTGGCTAATGCAATTTGAAAGCGAGTGTGATAAAGACAACCTGATCTTTCCGGTCTGAGTGCATGCCGGGGGCATTCCCAGAGAACTGCAGTTACAGGGAAAGGGGCAGCTTTGGGAGATGGAGAGATGACGTCTTCCCTCTGAAATGGCTGGAGTTTGAGGTAGCGGAACCTCTCAGAGGAGGGAGACCCTGCAGGTGTGGAGATATGGGCTGGAAGGGGGCTAAAAGGAAGAAGCCAGGAGCGAAGGGGAGCCTGCTCCCCTGTGGGTAAGATGAAGGGACTGGATGGGAGCTTCCATTTAATTCAGCACAAACGTGTGGGCTCCTGCCTGTGACAGACATTGGGGCAGAAGTGGGGCTGCTAGGAACAAGAGGTGCACGCAGACTGCAGAGAGCACAGGAAGAAAGCCCGTAGACATTCCCCCGAGTCCCAGTTTTCTCTTCTGTGGTAAGACGGGAGGTAATAATGCTTGCCTTAAAATTAGAGGTGACCACCATGTGAGCGCTTCCTTTAAAACCAGGTAGATAGTAGATGCTTGATAACACTTTAGTTACTTCCACTTCCTCCCTCTCTCACTCTGGTCCACTTCCTGGGAGTGGTCCTTGACTAGAGACCGTTAGCAAATACGAAGACACTTAAGGAAGTTTGGGTGGAAAGAGAATGGAGTTTTCCCACGAACGTTTGCAGGCTCGTGTTAGACTAGGAAGCAACGTTGGGAGCCATGGAGAATTTTTGAGCTGCGGAGGCTAGGGTGGGAGAACGGGCCCCGCTGGGAGATGGGTGCAGGGGAGGTCAAGGCAGGCAATAAAGCCTTGTGGGGACTCAGGAACTCTTCCAGGAGCTTGATGCTTCTTGGGAGCCCCCTCCCCTTAAAAAATAACTTCCAAATTTATTTATAAACTATCTCTTCCAATTATTATTACTTTTAACAAGCCCATTTCTAAGTTTGGGGAACCCGCTGTGGGACCCAAAGGGGCCTGAACCCTCGGGGGTGCGGTGGGTGGGTGGAAGTAGGGGACAAACCCTGGTCAGGGAGCTGTTTCGTGTCAGCTAACCCAGAGGGGCTCCCCAGGTGCGCGTCTACAGCCCATACCAGGATTACTATGAAGTGGTGCCACCAAACGCGCACGAGACCACCTATGTCCGCAGCTACTATGGGCCGCCCTACCCAGGTAAGTCTTCGGTCCACTTTTGTGCCGCACCCCGCGGGCGTCCCTACCCTTCTCGTAATGACCTTGGATTACACACTCTGCCCCACAACCCCCAAACTTGTCCCCACTGAAGACCCGGCGGCCCAGGAGCGCGCGGGCGCCTGGGGCCGGTCGCGACACCTGGTGGCTAATCCGGGAACAGCCACTTCCTTCCGCTCCAGCGACCGCCAGCCTGCTGGAAAGCCCGGGAGCCTGGCGGGGGCCTCGTTCTTCCCGAGTCCAGGCGCTCTCAGTGGGTCAGGTGCGGAGGGACCGGCAGGCATCGTTTGCCCCCTGATGACTGGCTCTCCCCGCAGGCCCCGGCGGCGTGACTCACGTGATCGTGCGGGAGGATCCCTGCTACAGCGCGGGCGCCCCGCTGGCCATGGGCATGCTCGCGGGGGCCGCCACGGGCGCCGCGCTCGGCTCGCTCATGTGGTCGCCCTGCTGGTTCTGAGCCCGGGGTCCCAGCGCGGGAAGCCCACCTCCCTCCGCAGACATCTGTAGACCGCTCTTCCTCCCGAACACACCGCCCCAGTCCTGCGCCACTTGGCCCCCACCACGTTCCCTAGTGCCTCCGAGAAGCTTGGACCCCCAACTCCCACATGCCAAGAAGCTATTGTTTCACAGGTACCATCACTGCCCCAATTCTCTACTTACCGTGGTCAAACACCAAGAAATTCCTGACGGATACATGACAGTATCCTGCGGCCTGTCTCCAAGCACACGCACCAACGTATGTTTTAAGAAACAACATAATTTGACTTCAGGCTCTCTGGGCCCTGGGGTGACACACTCCTCCAAGCGCTGCTGGCCTGGTGGGGAAGCTACATTTGACATACCAGTTGTCAGCCCTTTGTTGGGAATGCAGGGTAGGCAAGGAAGTGGGAGTGGGGACCAGAACAGTAAACGTGCTGGCATGCCCTAGAAATTAAAAGGCGGTTCAGTTGGATTGGAATCGGCTGGGCTGGGCCTCCAGGCTTAAGAGCTTGCTGGTTAGGGAGTTTTATGTACGGAAGGTTCATGATGGCGCCTGTAATGTATTACCTATTATTTCTATCAACACACACTCATATCCCACCCATTTCCTGGGTTTAGTTCCACCCTTTTATCACCAATTTCCTGGGCCCTTTTCCTTCAATGGCCAGGTAAGCATTTGGGACCTCCAGCCTTACCTATGAAACTGCCTCCATCAGGAAATGACTTTTTCATCATCAAAATGTGGCCCTTAGGCCACGGCCATCAGTCTTGGCCTCTTCCATTGCTCTGGGGTACAGTGGTGTCCCTTTGGGAGGATAGTGGTGTTCACATCTGGGGCCTGTTCCCCCCTTTCCCACCCGGAGGTCCCATGTGTGGATCACTGCAGGTGGCCCAGCAGTCCATTTCATCACCTTCCAGCCCCTTCCCTTGTCCCCATCACCAATGGAAATGCTACCGTGGTCACCATCTAGTCTCCGTTCCCATCACCACTAGAAATGCTAACATACCTGCCCAGTCGCCAGAATAGTTGGCTGAAGATTCCCTGCAGATGGGGGCTCCACTGACTGCTGCAGACTAATAAAGGTGTAGATGGCTCGCATTCAGGCTTTCGCTCTCTTTATTCCCCAGGAGGCTCCCCAGGACATCTTCAGGACCCCAGCTACTACCAACACCTTGTCTGGCCTGGTGGGGAGGGTGGATTCTGAGGTCATATTCGCTGAGGAATTTGGGTTGTCACTTAATCTTTCTGGATCTTGGTACCCCCATCAATGAGGTAGCAGTTGAAGTTGGCCAGGGGCTGGAAGAGGGCCTGTTAGGTCTGGCACCTGAGCTGATGATGATCCAGGCCAAACCTTGCGTGCTTTGAGAGGTCTTTTCCAGCTCTGGTTCTTCGGTCACTCACCAGGAGGTACTGCACACCAGGTCCATCCTGAGGCTGTCCAACTACATTGAACGTCTGTCTGCACATACATACTTTGGGGACCCCAGCAGTGGGAGCTTCTCCAATACCAGAAGTATGACTCAGTTTCAAAACCAGATTCTTAAATCCTGAAAGCTAAGCTGGAAAGGGCCCTAGGTGCCTCCCTTACTAGTCCCTTCTGTCATTCAAAGGATCAGGGAGGGAATTAACTTCTCACTTTCCTTCCACTGTGAGGTAGTTCAGCCTATGGGACATCCTTCTTCAGTGGGAGCCAAGATCTGCCACCTGTGAACTCCCAGGTGTTGCGTTACCTCCAGGCCCCAGTGCCTTCTAGTGCTAAAAACTCCCAAAGACTTGAACTGGTCCTCAGAAGACTTCGTTGTCAGGAACACCTCTCAGCTAGCCTGTCTCCCCTACGCCTAGAGCACAGCACCTTGAGGTTTGAACTTTTAAAAGATCATTTTTGGGGGAGCTCTTACAGCTATTATCACAATCCATAATTCAATTAGATCAAGCATAATTGTACAACTGCTGCCACCATCAGTTTCAAATAATTTTCTTTCTTCTTGAACTCTTTGACATCACCTCTCGTTTATATCCTCCCTCTCCCACCCCAGGTACTCTTATTATAGAATATTTTGCCCTATCTTACACCATCCAATGTACCCATTCACCTACAATTCTGTTATTTGTTCCCCTCAAGTAGGGTTATACAGTCATCGCTATAGATCTCCTCTTACCCACCCCTCTTCCTGAACCCTCAGGGAATCATTACTCCTTACTATTTCTGAAGAGTTTCTCTATCTTGGATTTCATGCATCAAAAGACCTTAATTATACAAATAAACAAACACAGGTCTAACAAGATTAATGAGATAAAACAAATAGTAAGTTCTAAGAAAGAACTAGAGGTTATGTTTCATCAGTGCTATATTGCACCCTGGATATGTCACCCCTTCCATGAGGGACTGTCCAATTTTCTCACAGGTGAGTTTTAGGTTTCCACTTTGTCTACACTCCATATCAACTTGTTTTTGAACTTCTGATACCTCTTCCTGTTGACACCTCATGATGACACAAGCTGGTGTGCTTCTTCCATTTGGGCTTTGTTGCTTCCCTGCTAGATGGTCACTTGTTTAATCTCAGATGCTTTATATTTTAATAGCTGGGCACCACACCAGCTTTCTTCACCACATTTGCTTATGTACCCATTTTGTCTTCAGAGCTCAAGTCAGGAAGGTGAGTATTATTAGAACAAGAGTACTGAACATTTTCAGATTGGTCACCAGTCTTGGTCAAAGTCACAAGTTAAGGCCCAGGACATGCCAAGAATGGGAAAGTGTGCTGAATACAGAGTTCCAACTGTAATGCTGTTATCCCTCTTTTACAAGTTACCCTCTTCTAGTGTGTGATGGGGAAAGGTGGCCAGCTGCTCCCTAGGTGGTTCCTGTCACCCACATCCTAGGCTGTGTGAATCCATTTGGAAACACTGACAAGAGAAGTGATGCATGGTGTTTTCCCTTTACTGCCCAAGCATTTCTTCATGTCATCACCACCCCCTGCCCCTACCAAGAACATGTATGCATCACACTTTACAGAAAGGCTAATCAAAAGAGGTACAGAGATGAAAATTCTAATTTCTGTAGTCCAACACTTTAAACCTTTTATTCTATACCCTGCAACCCCCAACACACATATAAAAAGCCAGCTCTTTTGTTCAAATAAGTGTGTCTTCTAGTGTCTACTTCGTTTGTCTTTTGTTCTGTCCACTCCCTCTACCCCAACCAGTGCCCTCCCCCCGATTAATAAACTTCTATACTTCTACCACGTGCTTTCCATTTGCCTGACCGGACAGAGTATTAGGACTGTAAATGGATCCTCAAGATACAATTTGCTTCAGAATCTCTCCACTAGAAAGAATGCAGCATGAATTTTTAATTCTTCCAACTGTCTAGTAGACAGCTTTTTAATTATTCATACACACATTAAGACAAACACTAATCCTTACAGACAACACAGTTTAAACTAGAGGTGACACAGAGCCACAATAGACCCACCCTTTGTGTTTTGTTTGGTCAGCACAGTGTCCAAAAAAGTTTGAATCAAAATAGTTTCTACATTCTCACCTGAAGATTACAAGTAATGGATAGTGGAACATAAAAAGACAACATTAAGTATTAATGTGGAACAACTGGAAATCTTATACACTGCTGGTATGAGTGAAAATGGGTACAACTGCTTTGAAAAAATGATTGGGAAAGGCAAACCAAGGATGATTTTTGATCCTTACATTCTAATCCTAGAGTACAATCAACAGAAATGCCACAAACACACAAAAAGTTATGTTCAATGCTACACTGGAAACAACTCCCATAAAAGAATATACCCACTGGTATATTCACAAAACAGATAATATTCAACAATGAAAATTATAAATCCACAACAAGATACAAAAATATGGATGAAACCTCAAATACGAGATGGAATTATTCTAAAGTTTCTTGTATCTTTTGAATAGTACAATGATATGGTAATAAAGATGCACATTGTAATCCCAAGAGTAACCACTGGAAAAAAGCATTTCGAAGAGGTTAAATGAAAACCAAAGCAAAATAGAAAAATTTTTCAAAAACCGATGAATCATGCAGAAGACAAACATCAAAATGATAGAACTAAATCCAAACATATTAACAACATTAAGTATATATTAACTAAAAGCAATTTAATTGATAAACTCATCAGACTATCATAAGCACTACCCAATCCTATGCTTTATACAAAGATGCATGAGGAAACACAGAGACAGCAAAGGTGATAAAGCAGAAGGCCGGAAAAGGGTATACTGCATGTTCAGTAGGTAAAGAAAGGTGGAGTAGCTATTTTAAAGTCAGTCAAGACAAAAATTATTACCAGAAATGACACTTTATAAAGAAAAAGAGAATCAACATAAACAAGACATAAGCACTACAAATGCACATGTGCTGGTAACAGATTTAAAATGCAAAATGGATTGAACTAAAAGATAAATTATCATTATATTTGGATATTTTAATACCAACGTTTCAGTATTTTTAGTAATTAATAGGAAAGAGACATAAAATTAATAAGAATATAGAAAATCTAAACATGAATCAGACTTAATGGACATTTAACACTACACCTAATGTAAATACATAATATTTTTTCCTTTTTTTGTGCACCCTCCTCCTGGGCCCAACCCAGGGCAGGTGAGGCTTGGACAGGTGCCGCCAGCTGGCCCAGCCGCTAGGAACCAGCGCCAGAGTGCTGCCTGCTCGCTGCATGAGGGCCGGAGTCCAGCTTCCCACCCACGGGGGGGCAGGGCTCACAGGCTGTGTTTCCTGGACTTCATCTTTTTTTTCTTTCTCTTTCTCCTCCCTCTCCTTTTCCCTCCTCCCTCTCCCTCTGGCTCTCTGGTCTTCCCGTCCTTCCTCTATCCAAACTTCTGGGTAACTTTTTTACCCCACCTAAGTTCCTCCTTTCCCAAGGAACAGGGGCAGGCAGTGCGCTCCTGTCCAAGGGCCACCCGGAGCACACAATACTTGTTCAAGTGTACACGAACAATGTGATCAAGATGGACTGTAAAATTGGTTCAAAACACAAGTCTCAACAAATTTCAAATAAAACCTTTCAGAATATTTTCTCAGAACACAGAAAAATCAAATAAAAAATAGATACAAATATCTAGAAAAGTTTCAAATATTTGGATATGAAACATACTTCCAAAAAACACATAGGTGAAAAAAAATCACAGGGAAAATGTTAAAATCTTGAATAATAAAAAGGAAATTCATAGTTTTAAATGTTTGTAATAGGAAGAAAGGGTTACAAATTAATAAGGTAAATTGCTGTCTTAAGAATCTAGACAAAGTTACTGGGCTGTTACTGAGTGGCTGGTGATTGTGGAGAGAGCATGTCTTTCAGGATCCCTCATCAATTCCCTGTGTACCCTGAAAAGCGACTACAATTTCCCTATGATCAGCACCTGCAGGTTTCCTTAGCATGTTCTCAAGTGCACAAGGAATCATCTTGACACTGCAAGCAAATTGGCTACTTGTCCCTTCAACGCTCGTCACCAGGTTCCTTGGATTGAAATCAGTCATCATCTCTCAGGATGTGATGACAACAGTTGTGGTGAGCAGAATGTTGTTCACCAAATGAGGTACCTTGGCCTAGAGACTCAGACGGAGGGCACACAGTAGTGTCCTCCTTGAGGCAGACTAGGATAGAGACTTGTGGGAACAAACCAGCACCCCATTACCTACTGCAAGCCACATAGTTACGGAACACGAGTAACCTGGCTTCAGCCCTGCAAGTCCCCAAACTGCCACCGTGTGTTCTGCCATGGAACGGCGACGGAAATGCAGTTACTGAGTATCTCATCGGATGCCAGACGAAGATGCTTACTTCTTCCTGCTCCAGTGGGTTCATGTCTCCTACTCTAATTATATAAATATAAACTGCAACTTTCAAAAACAAATCTAGGAAGTGGAAAATTAAGCCAAGTAGGGAAATAGAGAATCGAAATAATAAAACGGAAAACAGGTGAACAGAAAAAAATTTAGAGTTGGACCTGGGCGGAGGACTAATCAGTTGAAGTGCAAAATCACAAGTTAACAGTACAAAAGATGAATAATTTTCTGCAAATAAATTTGACAATTT